TTTTTTTTTTTTTTTTGGATCAGAACAGATGCGATCTTAGTCCGAAAATGTAAGTAAAAAAAAAAAAAAAAATCTTAGTCCGAAAACCGAGAACGTCATCGTTCCAATTTTGACGGCTGTGATGTCCCGAAGGAGGTTCTTCTTTTTCTTCAAACAGTTGCAATCTTCAAATGGATGAGGGAAAAAAAAATAGAAAAAGAAAGGATAAGGAATGTGGTGTCCCATACCGCAGAAGCAGCCTTTGCTTGGGCTTGTGTTTTTGGGCCTCGCTCCGCTACTCACCACATGCACAAAAGGGGAAAAAAAAATGACAATGTTATCTTTCCATGTTCCAGCGGAGGATTCACGTTCATTTTGCACATCTCTGGAGAGTAGTTGAGCGAGGCCCTTTCTCTTGTTTCGATCATTGTCTGTTCTTCCCTTTTTTTCGCCTGATAACGCGCTTGCCGGTAGGGAGCAACCGGACTGCCGCGCCCCATGGGGCCAATAGTTTTTTTTTTTTTTTTTTTTTTTTTGGTTGGTGGGGCCAATAATTTGGGCATTGTGCAAAAGAAGGAAAAAAAGAAAGAAAAAAATGGGTTTCAGCTTTCCAAAAATACTTTTTTTTTTTTTTTTAATTTAATAATACATTACTGTATTCAGGCGTGCTCATTGTGTTTGTTGTGCAGTGGCGAGCGGGATGATGATGACTACCCCGGACATTGACGGATAGCAAGATAGTAACAGAGAGCGAGACCAAAATCAAGAGCGAACGAGAGGTAGGCATGTCTCTTACGTAGTGTTAAATGTGTTTACAAACTCTTTTTTTCTATTTTTTTATGTTTACAACCTCTTATGTAGTGTTATATATATGTTTACACGTGTGTCTATTTAAATCGAATGCCTCACGTCTTCCCCCGAACACAACACACCCTGATAACGAATGTATACAATCGAGCTCTCCGGTCCGGTGCAGCCAAAATAAGGCTGCGTTGTGTTCGGGGGAAGACGGTAGTGGCATGATCAACCGGATGATCGTAGTCTTTGTCCTCCTTCACGTTCTCAAATGAACCTCCATCACTCACACGCGCACACACACACGCACACACACACACACACACACACACACACACACACAGAGAG